TCTATCTCACAAGCCACACGGGCAACGGTAAAACATGATGCTCAGCCCAAAATATCATTTAAAATATCAAAAACGAGTAAAGATGGCTGAGGTGTGAAAACAGTAGAATATAGCATGACTGAGTACGAATACGAAGCCAAAACAATGAGGAATAGTAGTAAAATCCCCTAAGGGTCAAAACAGTTGGCACGAGGCCTATATACGGCATTCAGCCCAAAGCATGATAGCAAACAGTTTTCAATTAATTACGCTGTTAAGCAGTCATACGAGACGGACTAAGTCACAATCCCTAATGGTGCACGACCCCACGCTCGTCATCTAGCGTGTGAGTCGCCTCAAAGTAGCACAATGAAGTGATATCCGGGGTTTCATACCCTCAGGACAACATTTACAATCATTACTTATCTTTGTCCGGTCCAAACTCTAGCCCGCAAAGCCTTTGCATATCGAATCGGCCTCAACACACGTTGAATCTATCCAAAATCAGAATCATGACGTCAAAATATGCTAAGGGAATGAAGCCCATGCGAATATAATCAAATTACGACACAATTCCCGAAATTAACCAAATCTGACCCCCGGTCCCATGCCTTGGAATAAAAATTAACATCAGTAGATTCCTTATCTTCCCACGAGTTCATGCATATCAAATTTACCAAAATCCAACCACAAATGATCCCTCAAATCCCAAATTTTAGGTCTCTAATTTCAAGCCCTAGTTTCTTCAATATTTACCCACAATTTTCATAAATTTCAAGCCTAATCAATGACATAACACCATAGGAACAAGTTTTATGATAAAAAAAATCTTATCTCAACGAAATTCCCTTGAATTCCGTGTTCAAAATCGCCCTAAATGCTCCAAAATCGATTTAAAAATGGTAAAGAAAGGCTGAAAATCGCGAAGGATGAAATATATACTTTCTGACCCAGGGATTCCCCACCTGCTGTCCTTTTTCTGCTTGTGCGGTCCCGGTTATGCGGTCTAACCCACCGCACTGCGGTTTTTCACTTAAAGGCCCAATTCTGCATCTGTGACAAACGCCCGTACCTGCGCTATCACACGTGTGCTCCAGTAGCCGCTTCTACGGTTCCAGCAGACTTCCCTCTTGGCCGCATCTGCGGCTTGCCTTTTTCTTCTATGAGCATCGCACCTGCGACCTCCCAAATGCAGGTGTGGTTATGACATCTACAATAACTTCGGCTGCCAAACTCAACTCCAAAATCCACCGTCAACCATCTGAAATCACCCTGAGGCCCCCAGGACCTCAACCAATAGCACGAACAAGTCATATACCACTATCCAAACTTATACCAATCTTCAAAACACCTCAAACAACATCGAATCAACCAAATCACATCGGATTCAAGCCGAAGGTTCCAAAAATCTTTCGAATTACGCTTTTGATCAAAAAGTCTATCAAACCACGTCCGAATGACCTACAATTTTGCACACATATCCCAAATGACACAACGGACCTACTGCAACTCCCGAAATTCCATTCCGACCCCTATATCAAAATCTCACCTATCAACTAGAAAATGCCAAAAGTTCATTTTCGCCAATTCAAGCCTAATGCTACTCCGGACCTCCAAAACACATTCCGATCACACTACTAAGTCTCAAATCACCTTCGAAGCTATATGAATCATCAAAATTCACATTCGAGCCCTTTTTTTAAATAAGCCAACATCCGGTTGACTTTTTCAACTTAAGCTTACTCAAAATAGACTAAGTGTCTCAAACCTTAACAAAACCTTTCCGAACCCGAGCCAACAAACCCGATAGCACATAATATAGCTTAACAAGACAATAGTAAGCAGGAATGGGGGGAAACGGAGCGGTAACACATGAAACGACCGGCCGGGTCGTTATATTAACTCAAGTTGCAACAACATCTTTCGGAACTGCCTCAATGAATGCAGGTTGGTTGACTTAGGATATAAAGGCAATAAGTACACTTGGACTAACAAAAGATAAAAAAATAGGAGTAGTCTAATCTTACAAAGGATATATAGATGCTTCGCTAATGACTGCTGGATTTCCTAGTACCCTGAGGCTAGTATTAACCATCTTCCTAGGGCACACTCATGCCACTGCCCTATTCAAATTATGCTAAAAGGGGATACTTTCAATAACTCTAACATGCCGTCCATGTTTGAATGAATGTGGACTAGCCACCCCTCCTATCATAGTATCATCAATGAGGCATTTACTACTAACTCCCCACTAATCCAATCAACAAACACCTTCAAAAACATTGTGACCCAGTGCAACAGACATTCCTTTGGTAATATCTTCCACAAGAAGAGAAAGATCCTATCAAGAATTGCTGAAATCCAAAAATCTCCCAATTACAAGAAGAGAAGGATCCTGACTAAAGAACCAGACTCTAGAACTTGACTCCATTCTCAAGAATGAGCAAGACTTTTGGAAACTCAAGTGAATGGTCAACTGGCTAACTGAAGGTGATGCCAAAACCAGGTTTTTCCACACCTCAATCCTTAATAGGAGAAGAAGGAACATGATCATGTCCCTCAAAGAGGACAATGGGTATGAGCACATGATTTTTGCCCGACTAGAAATACTCCTACAAAAATAAAAAATAGGGTTTTCTAAATTATTTTTATTGTTATAGAATTTTGTAGGTTGTTCTCAATTAATTATTTGCATTGTTTTGCACATTTAATATTTTAAAATCATAAAAAATATCAAAAATATCCAAATCATCATTACATCGCATTTTTTGGCTTTAAGTGCATTTAGAATTTAATTGCATAAGTTAATTGCATTCATTAAATAAAAATCATAAAAATTACCATAGTCATGTCTACATTTTTAGTTTTAAATTAATTAGTGTTAAAATTACTGAAAATAAGTATTGATAATTTTATAAAATATATTAATTTAGAATCTAAATTAGGATTTCATTTATTTTATTTAAGATTTTATTAAAAAATAAAAAAATTAAAAATAGAAGAAAAGAAAAGAAGTCAAAGAAAATGGGCTTTTTTATGTGGTCTTGTTCGGAATGGGCCAAAAGTTGTGGCCCAATTATTCTTTTAAAAATAAACAGTTTCCATAAAGCACTATCTTTTAGTAGTAATTAGCCATTTATAGATATCATTTGCTATATTACGAATTATAGATACTTTTTATGTGGTTATAAGATGTATTTGATGTATTTAAGCTATTGTATTCATCAATACAATAACAAAAATAGGCGTGAATCAGGGAACTCTAGGTAATCATCAGATGTATTCAACTGTATTCACGAGGCGTAATCGTGAATACAGTAACATATTTCACGTAAAATATGGAACGTTGAACTGGTTTAAAACGGAAAGGAAATTAATTTACCTGATACTATCCTTATTTAACTCAACGAACAAAAACTATTGCCTATAGATTTGTATTCCTCCATTCATGAAAGTTTTTTTCAACAAGAAAAATAGCAAAAAGCAGAGCAACATCTTTATTTTAAGTTCTCCCTTTTTTCTGCACCAAGTTCTCTTTTCAACCACGAAAAATTGCGATATGGTATAATTCAATTATACATATGGCAAGTTTAACAGTGTTGTTGTGCCATTCTGGCATGTGGAACAGTGAGAGAAATTATGTCGATTATTCAATTAAGGGAATACTGATAAAGGAGTATGCGTCGTATGATGATTTGGTTGCGTCAATTTTTAATCAACTGGGCGTATATTTGAGCTCAAAGTCCATTAAAATTCAATATAAAGTAGAAGGGAATTGTACACCAATGGAAATACACAGTGACATGGGTTACAGGGTGTATGTAGAGTTGAAAAAAGATAATAGAGAATTCGGGATGTATCCTTTGTCATAACAACGATTGAAAAAGAACTTGTATCCGGAGGTAGTTTAATTCAAGGCGACATTGTGCAAATAGACGAATCAGTTCAAAGGTATGATTCCGATACAGATGATACGCTTGCTCTAGATTTTGTGAATTCAGGAAAAGAAATTGGGGTGTTTGAACTGGACAAGGATTTGATAATTTCAAAAACTAATGAAAGGGAGGTTATGGATGGACAAGTATATAAGGATAAGGCTACATTGAAAGAGGTGATGGAGAATTATGCTATATCTCAAAGGTTTCAATGCCGGGTTAGTAAGTCTAATTCTGTCAGGTTTGAGTGTATTTAATTATCCTTTATTTTTTTAATATTATATTCATGGTTGGAGTTGTAAGTTATATGTTGATTTGTTATGCGTATTTGTGGATTTTAACTTGATCTTCACCGATGTGGTTAACTATTTTTTATGGTCTTCAAACACATGTATTCTTATGTATTTTACTTGTATAAACTTATTACAGTGGCTCTCATTATTTTCCTCTTTGGTTTACTAGTTGTATTTAAATGTATGCATATAACTATAATTGTATTCAGTTGTATTTAAATGTATACCATTTTATACATTTGTGTTGTATAATAATTTATAGATATATTGATGTAATAATGTATTCATGTGTATATGAGTGCATTTTTTGTAAGCATTTATGCTAATCATATGTATAATGATAAATTCTTTGCAGCTATGCATTATTATGTAGGTTAGAAGATTGTGAATGAAGGTTTAAGGCTTCAAGGATTAACAAATGAACTATTCAAAGTGAGAGAGTTCATTGATAAGCATACATGTCCGCTGAAGGACAAGGTGTATGAGCAGCGATAGGCAAGTAGCAACCTTATAGATGGAATGATTAGGTCTAAGCTTACTAATCATAAGATGAAATACACCCCAAAGGATATTATGATGATGTAATACCAGATTTAGGTGTAGATGTTAGCTACATGTTGGCGTGGCGGGCTAAAGAAAAGGCAATGAATTTTTTTAGAGGTGAACCGGCTTTGCTTGTATATGGCATCTATGGAACAACGTATATAAGAAATTTAAAAAGATCCATGTAAAGTTGAGCGAGATATACTTCTCGATGGCAAAAGCATAAACACGAGATGATTTCGATAGTCTAATGGAGAAGGGGGAGAAGGTAGATATTAGGGTGAAAGAATACTTGGAGTTAGCTGGATACGAAAAATGGGCTAGGTTGTATGCACCTGTTAATAGGGGATGGACCATGACATCACATATTGCTGACTCAATCAATGCCGCACTAGTGTCAGCAAGAGAATTACCAATATACGACTTCCTCGAAGAAGTTAGGAAGATATTTGGACGTTGGAATTGAAGCAACCGCAAAGAAGCTACACAGACATACACAACGCTTGAAAAAAAATACCAGGAGATGCTTACTTTAAATGAGGCAATGTCTACACGTATGATTGTAAGTTTTATTTTTATGTCATTGTATCATACATTTAGCTCTATTTTTAGATAGCTAACTTTTTTCTGAAATAATTTATACTATTTGGAATATTGTCCAAATGCTCAGTGTATTGTTCGTTGAATTTAATTTGTTTGTTTCTGTCCAGCTGCTTAATGTTCAGCAGATGTTATATGTATAACAATGTATTCATAAGCTAAGATGTAATTGTAGTTAATATTCTGTCAGTCTACATATATGATGTATTCTTCTGTATTCAAAATTTCCATTTGTATAAAACTGAATAATTCTGCATTATATATACAGAAGTATGCTTGTATTCAATACATATTTGGTTTAAGTAATACTATTGTATATTTAATACGTCTATTCTTTGGTATATAAATGATTTTTCTTTTGTTTATATGTGCTCAAAACTTATTGGTCTAAGTTTAAATGTAGGTGGTAACATCGACTGAATACTTACATACGGCTAACAATGGAGGGAAGCATTACACCGTTTGCTTGTTAGAGAGAAAATGCGTTTGTGGGAGGTTCCAAGTTGATAAATTACCATGCCCACATGCTTGGGCTATATTGAAGAGCAAGTTTCTATTGCTAGAAGATTATTGCTCTAACTATTACCAACCAAATTCTATTGTAATGACATACGATGTGCCTGTGTACCTGTTACCGGACCGAAATGAATGGAATGTACCGACACATATTGCAGAGGAAGTTGTATTACCACCCAAATGGAAAAGACCTCCTGGAAGGCCAAAGAAGAAGCACGATAAGCCTTTCAGTGAATTGCTGCAGCTGAAAAATCAACATTCATGTAGCATATGTGGGCAGGGAAGACATAATAAGCGAACGTATAGAAATGCTCCACATAGGATTTAGTTAACATTCTGACATGTATTAGTGCTCAAAGAATTGTCATAGATTTCAATGACCTTGTGAAATAATACATTTTGCAACTTTCGTGAATAGATTCTGGATATAGTTATTTGTATTACTGTGTTGAATACATTCGAATACAACCTGTTGAAGACATACTTAGACAATATGTTAAACACAGTGCCTGACTTGAATACAAAATCCAACCACAATACATCTTAATCCAGCTACATACTCATTTAATATAACAATTTCAATACATACATATACAATCTACTGAATATACAATTATAGCCCGTGTATTATTCAGTTCCTGAATTGGATATACAATGCATACGACTGAATCTGATTATAAACTAATATACAATGTTGAATACATACAAAAATACAAACTGTATTATACATTGTGTGTGACTTGTATATACAAATCCAACAAAATAAATACAATTACGTATACATTTGTATTAGTATGAATATAACCTGCTTAAATAATATAAATACACCAGGGTGTATACATACGTATAAAACCTGTAACATACAGTTTCTGACTTGGATATACAAGCTAAGTGACTGAATCTTAATACATAATTATACACCCTGTTGAATACATATGAATATATCTTGTTGGATACATATGAATAGAACCTACAGATTAAGTGTGAATACTTATGAACAAAACAATGAAACATAGATTGAAAAGTTGAAATGGTCATATATAAACACTGTTGATACAGTGATTAAAACATGGTTTTTTACCAAAATAGTATTCAAAAAACAGTATTTATATAAAACCACCTTCCAAAACTACATTCACCTAAAACTACTCTAACACTATCTTCAACAACGAATATGGCTCTGTGATTTGCCTAGCAATCTTTAAGGGTGCTTCATTCTCGCTTATGGCATCATCGTCTATCTTCCACATAGCATAGTCCTAGAGGAGAGCAGCATATCTTTGCCAGAGTAGATTGGAATCAAATGTTATTTGTGGAACCTCACCAAGAGTGCTCAGAAACTCTGTGTATGCCGCAAAATGCACCCCACAATCCCTGAAAAATATTGATTGAAACAATTAAAAACAATTAATACTATTAGAGTTATAAATGATACAAGCATGATGATCAATTGATACATGCTCCCAGTTTTTTGTTGAGGCAGATTTGTTATGAAAACAACATCAAAGGGATCAGTATGTGACTTGTCATTGTATGCTCTGTAAAAGACACTGATTGATAGATACAGAGGTACAAGTTTAGCAAGCTTATTTATCTCAGAAGCTACATAGGCATCATGACATGCAGATCCGTACGAGTCATACACTTTGATACATCTCTCCTTGAATGAGACAACACCCAATATCCAGTGTAGTTTGTCCTTCAAGTTGATTGGTATCAAGACATTGTCAACATTATGCCAAGGTACATTAGCTAGAAATCTATAGCCCCTTATGTACTCACATACCACATCCTCTTCTTTGGCTACATTTGCATTACTATCTGTATCAGCATACCTATCGAAGATTTCTGCAATTCTTGTCTTGAATATACAATCAACAGTTGTATACTTGAAGTTGGTTGTTTGGTTGTACTTTCCCTTCTTTCTCAGATAGTAAATATGACGTCAATATGCTATATATAAATTTAATTACATTGCGTTAGTACATTGACGAAATAGTCAAAAAAGAATCTGAATATCATAGTGCAAGCTTAAATATATACAAGTATCATATTTTGATACATACAAATACATCTACATACAACTTGCGAATATAAGAGGTATTAAGTGGAAATACATTCAGAAAACAGAATAAAAATTAATACAACTGCATATATGATTAAAATAATTAAATATCTGAATACATCTTACTACATGTTAGTAATACATCTAAATACATATGAATACATTACATATTTGACTACATGTTAGTAATACATATAAATACATATAAACACATTACATATTTGAGGCAGTTAAATGCATCTAACTGCTTTGTAATAACATTACTAAATATAGGAAGCTGAAATATATACAAGTATCATGTTTTAATATTTATTCAAGAGACCTATTAAATACAAATCAGAAATCATGAACAATATTAATACAAAATACATACTATACAAATAGTTCAATCTATTTCTGAAACTGGGACAGATTCATTCTCAAGCAGTTCATAAATACATCTGAATACAGTTAAATACATTTGTTATATAGCACTTATAAGGCCATTCAATACATCAAATGTAAAAGATACACTTGAGTACAATTTAATACATAAAAATCACGTAAGACAAATTTGTGTGAGAGCTCAAATTGTGAATTATACAATTAGACAAACCAATCCTAAAAAAATGAATTATACTAGATTTGGAAGGGGTAAAACTTACAAGTCATCCCATAGTTCACTTGAGCTTTTCTTTTTAATCAGATAAATGTTCTCAAGGCTGTCTTTCCTTTCTTCCATTTTCCTACTGGTTTACTCCATTTATGACGGAATTCGAGTTTGATTGTGGATTCCTGGTTATTGCTGGTTGATGTTACTGTTTTGTGCTACTCATTGCTGTTTACTTCTTCTCTAAGTCTAGAGATTTATTTTCTATTTTTGTCTATCTTGTTGTAATTAGGTACTGACCTTAAATCTGAAGTTTTTGTTTTGGTATGAATGAGTTAATTTGTTTATTTGTTCCATGAAATCCTGATTTTCCATCATCATTTGCTAATTTTATTATGTTTAGTATGTTAATTAGTAGATTTTAGTTTAGTTAAACTCATGTGTGGTTTCTATTTATTTGGTGTTTTGAAATGAAGAAAGCCAGAATCCTTTGCTTTACTACTTGATTACTTGAACTGATGCGGTTATCTCATGTTTTGTAATTCTGAGTCTATTTCTGAGTTAATATTACATGTTGTAAACTAGCTGATTATAAGTTGGAAGGTGACCGAGATTGTTTAACTCTAAATAGTTTAAATAGCTATTAATAGTACCTGGAGCATGTAGTGTCAGTTATTAAATTTTTGTTTTAAGTCTGAATACAATTTCAACCATGTTTAGACCATGTAGATTCGGTATCTGTTCAAAAGGGCTTTACTATAGTGTTGGTTTATGCGGATTTGTGTTGAGTTTGGAATGTAAAGAGATGGTTTATTACTGAATACATGGCTATGGCTTGCTGATCTGGCCACCAGTTGGGTCGGATTGGTGAACTCTAAGGCTAAAGGGTGGATTTGGAGTCATTTATGGAGGAAGATTAAGCAGAAGATTGATTATTTGATTATGTTCCGCTCATATTATGAATCATTCATGAATATATTTAAAGTGTTATATCTATTACCATTATTGATGACTGTATTATAATTCGTCAAATTTGTAAATATTAAAATGTAATCAGCCTGCTATGTTTTAGATTAACTCAAATGGTTCAGTTGCCCATTTTCACTATTCTTGGCAATTTTAATTCTGGAAGTTTGAATGAGTTACTACAAATTTTGTTTTGTTGACTCTTTCACTTTTATTGTCCATCGTTGGTTTAAAGGAGTATGCCATTGTTTAGTTAGTTTAAGAACGTGAAATACATAACAATTTCACATCTTCTGTGATTGGAAAAACTCCCTATCCCTTCAGAAAAAGGAGGTGTGACAGCTCTGGCGACTCTGCTGGGGATCGAACCCAGAATCTCTGGTTCAGGGTTCAAGAATTCGAGCTTAGAATAACTGTTATAGTTGGCTTTTGTTTATTATCTGATTTTTATGTGTTTAAGCCTAATGTGCTAAATGCAGCTTTTTACCGTTTTGATATTATTTGAACTGTATATAAACTATTAAGAAACCCTTCTTCTCTTTGAGTCTTCTAAATCTTCCGGGAAGTGCACGCTGGCATGACTTCTTTTATGTTAATGTCATATCCTTAATTTAGAACGAGGTTTGGACAAGTTGCAAAGCCGGATGATCTTTTGGTTACTAGTACGCTGCCCCTCTCGGCTCGAGTTGTCCGCTCGGGTAAGCCAGGTCTAGAACAATACACCTATGATTTAAACCTAGAATAACATATCCTCATGTCGGATCCCTAGTAGGAACGCTTGTTTGCATCACGTGCATTGACTTTGGGGACTCAACACAGGGGTTGGATCCGTCTAGGACATGTTTACCCAAAATAAAAACATCAACCTGATGCCTTTTATGTGCTACTTGTATATTTATTTTTTTGATTTGCATGTTGACCGATTTCTAGAATAGGGAAGAAAAGTCAAGAAAAACCAAATTGAGGTAAGTGAGAGAAAATTACTCGTTTTGAAAAATTCGGTGTTCAAAATATCCCGAAATTCTGCCGAAATTTTGAATAAAAAAGAGAAAAAGAAGAAAAAGTCATTTCAAAATAAGTCATGTTTTCCTGTTACGACAAACTGACCGAACTACGTGGGTTTGATTATCATGGTTGTGGGATACTTCGGCAACCCTCATCGGGTCCAACCCCGTTCTTTTCACAAAATAACCAAAATATGAAATGTCGCCATATTTGCCATAAATAAAGTTAGGTGATGCCGTTTTTGCTAATATAGCAAGAAATATCCTGATCTGATGCCGTAAGGTCGTTTTTACAAGAATAGCCACCAACGGTTCCTTTGTCAATTTTTGGCCACCTAGCAAACACATGCCTAAAATCTTCCCTTCTGAAGTGCTGAAGGGCCGTATTTGAGTAGTCATGATGTTTTAATTTGAATTTTTGCAAAAAATAACCTTTTTATCAATTTTTAAACAGAAACTCACATATTTTAACCTAGTAACCCTAATCTAAATGTGCAAAATAAGCACAGTTCAGAATTTACTGGTGAAGGTTATGACTCAGATTCCATTGGCACTCCACATGTGGTGGGAGGATTTGGGAAAATAGGGGCGAGACAAGGTCAACCAATACCTGGGGGCACTCACTGGATTATTGAAGATTAAACCCAAAAGTGATGTAATAGAGGCATTAGTGACATTCTGGGACCCTGCTCATAATGTTTTGC